TTGTCGACGTTGTACTGTGGCTGCCAGCGCATCATCCAAGTGGATGCCTCAAATTGGTGTTGGTTGAGGAGAGACCCCGACATGATTGTAAAACACTTTGGGTGTACAGTAGTACATATGTAAGTGCTATATAAATGCCTCATTCATTTATTCATTCAAACCAATTTAAAAAAAAAAAATGCAAATTACATATTGTTTTAAATACACTGCAGCAATTCATAAGCATGGGAGAAGCGTGATCTCTGTTAAAAAAAAAAAAAAGTTTATTAAGAATTGTGCAGCTCTACTTTGAAGAAGACAAGCAAGTTAGTACACTGACAATGGCCAGTTTGATGCTTTTTTATGTCCGTGTTATACATACAATGAGTACTTACGAAAAAGATTATTCTCCTAGTATTAATAATGACTCTCTCCTTAATTTGTTGAACAAAAAACAGATCTTTTAGAAGTGTGTGTTGACCTTCAATAAGTCCTGTTGGCTCTGAATATTGTTAATGTTTAATTAAAGGATTTGGAAGGATGACACCTCATATTCTATTATTTTATATGCTTCATTCACTGTATAATAAGGAAATCCTTTGAAGGAATGTGTCTGAGGGGAACCGTTTCATACAGTTTTTGAAGACCGCAGCATATTTCTCTCTTTTTCTCTCTCTGTAGCGCACACTTGCTTGCTTTCTTTGTGCTGACAGGAAGTAACGGATTTGGAGTCTTGTTAATGAACAGTGATGGAAAGAAAAGACAGTGTGAAAGAGGAATCAGGCACTTCATAAAGTTAGGTTTAATGGAAACGCAATGTTTTACTAATTGAAAAAGAAAATTGATGCAGAAGATGTGTAATGCACATTTGGGTTTAGGTTTTCCATTTGATTTTGTGTAGGGAATTCAGGGTGAATTGCAATGAGCTGTCACCATATTTCAGACCATCGTGAAGCCGTTGCCTTGTGTTTTTTTAGATTCATTTGAGAGTGTGGGCCTAGAGAGAGTAAAATGGAAAAAAATTCAGAATGCATTTAAATTAATACACGACTGTTCAAAACTTTGGGATGAATATGATTTTTATGGATTTTATATATATACACATATAACTTTCAGGCCTCACACAGCCACACTGCCTCAACCATTCACTGCCTTGTCATAATGAACATCTTAAACAACCCCGAGGTGTATTGAGTAATTGCTTGACACATGATGATCTGTGAGGGTAATATCAAACACAGCATCTATGTCACATCCAGATGGTCTTCTCGTAGCACCTACCATAAAGACCATCCCTCCCTTCACAGTCAGCCGATATTTCTGCAATGATTAATGATTACTGCCCTGCAGGAACAAGCTATGATCTGAAGAAAATGGATGGACGAGTTGTTAAAGAATATGAAAATACATTAAAATATGCATTAGCACACTGTCAGGCAAAAACTTCGCCTGCAGCCACAAGCTGTGTAAAAATGTGTGTTTTTGCTCCATGTAGTGACAAAGTTTAATGTACTTGTGGAGGTTTTTTTGGAGCTCGACAGGTCGTGGTGACTATCAACTGTAGTTGTATGGAAAAGATCTATGCTGAGCAACAATGACAGATTTTTAAATCTTGATTGGACTTTTCTTTTAAATGCAGAATTTGAGATGCATTATATATCGAATTGAATGTGGGCTCATTACCTTTCTATTCTCTTTAACCGGATTTAAAATTAATGAGTTCAATGAGTTAAGAAAGTTTTGGACTTTGAATACTTTGCCATGAAGGTACAAGTTACTTGGCTCCCCCGCTGGCCCTGAGGTCTTCACATTCTCCATTCCTAAAACCCTCATTAAAACATTTATACATGACTGCACACATCTCAATACTTGCGCATTTCAAATAAAGATCAATCGATTGGAAAAAACGCATGAAGCTTTATATAGTTTTAAACATTGCTTTATGATTGGGTTGTACTGTATTTATATGCGTCTGCCATTTTATGTTTTATAAAATATATATTACTATTCAAAGGTTCAAAGATTTTTTAAATATATTTTTTTTTTTAATATTTGTATTTTTTTATTTTTTAAAATATTTTATACAATATTTTTAAAGGCGCCCTAGAATTTGAAAATGAATTTATCTTGGCATATTTAAATAACAAGCGTTCAGTACATGGACATGACATACAGTGAGTCTCAAACACCATTGTTCCCTTTCAAGGGAACTCTAGCTGTGGGAACGCCCCTGCGTGATTGCGTCATGGCGTTTTAACCAAGCGTGCCGCACAAGCCCTCAAAAGTGAAGCCAAAACGTCTCGATCGCCCCCCTGTGACCGGTCCTAGTATAGCTCATAAATCCCGCCTCCCCATGTTATTCAATGGGACGCGAGACCAACTAAACAATTAAATTACACTTCACATATCCTTTTTCCAAAGATAGTTTCTGTCATTTACTGTAGTTTCTATCACGTTGATGTAATTTCAAGTGTTCGTTTTTAAAATAAGTTTTTTTTTAGTTAGTTATGTGATGTGATGATAAAAACGGTGCTCTGACATCATGATTGACAGCTGTGATTGACAGGTTCTCTGTGCGAGGTAGTCACTGAAGCACCAGCGGACTTTTTTCATAATGTTGATTATGTGGTTAGTAGTTGTATTTACCTTATTTTAACGAGGTTCTGCAATCAGCAGACAACATTGGAGAAGAACGAAGCAGACAGAGGACACTTAATGAAAGTGCGGGGCGTGTGCTTACGTTTGATTCAGCGCGAAGGAGGGCGCGGCCTTGATTTCGCGGCTTTACTTCCTGCTCACGACTGCGCATGACTGGTCCCGAAACACGCAAGTGCGCAGACTCAGGTCCCAAGATGTCAGCGTCATATCGAGACACTGGCGGCTACAGTTCTCTCCGATGGAAAAGAGCGGAGGGGCGTCGTCCATCTTTTTTTACAGTCTATGGTTTTAACCATTTACACAGGAGCGCGGCGGTGGAGCGTTTTAAAGATTTCCACTCTGGAGGGTGGTTTCACTTTTTTGCGTTTTTAAGCCCCAAAAACGCCGTCGCCGTGTAAACGAAAGGAACATCCGATAAAATATTTTTTTATGTTTTCACCCGTGAGCGTTCTCATGTAAACAGGGCCTCAAACGAAGAGAAATGTTTTCAAAAGACAGCCAACGAACAATAAATATAACCAACAACATGAAAGTTATTGAGTTTATTATTCTGGATGACCAGTCGCAGTCAACTAAAATGTTGTTTATTTAACAAAATTGTTTATTGATCTTCAGTTATAAAGAGATCATTTTCTAATATTATTCATATAATCTTTTTAGATTCTTAGATTTATTTGTTGCACTTTTTATATATGAAGAGTTCAGATGCAAAAGCCTCTAAATGCCATTTGAAATTTTCTTCTAAAATGACCATTTTTATCAAGCTTGTATATTTAAGTTCAGTAATTTCACTTAAATGACAATTAATAGGTAATCTTCATTGCCATTTAAGTGAAATTACTGAACTTAAATATACAAGCTTGATAAAATGATCATTTTAGAAGAAAATTTCAAATGGCACTTAGAGGCTTTTGCATCTGAACTCTTCATATATACTTATTTTGTAAATCTAAAATACCTTTTTTTAGTTTACAGTATTAGATGTGTAGGTGCATTTTAAGTTCTTTTTCACTTAAGATAAATATTGCTATGAAATGTAATTCAGATAATAAAAATACTCTAGTTCACTCTATGTATTTGTTCATGTTTAATTTAGGGATAAGTTTGAAGCACACCATAATAATTCTATCAATTCATACACTGCTAGAATGAATTGCAGCTGAATAGATACTACACACCCAGGTATCGGATCGGTACTCGGTATCGGCCGATACCCTGAGTCCAGGTATTGGGAAGAGAAAAGGGGTATCGGAACATCTCTACTAATAAACACTGAAAGGTCACATTTGCTTATTCGTCCATATGTTACCAGTCGGAAGGAGATTAACATATAAGCAGATGTTGTGTATCAGTCCCTAAGGAGAACATCAGAAATGTTGCATAGGTTAATGTGTGTCTTCATTACTGTTTCCTTTTAGAGAAAAGCTCTCATGAAGATTTATTTGGACAGGATCTGAGTCGGGGCTACTCATCTCACATTTATATATAAAAAAAAAAAAAAAAACACACAATTTTCTTAATTATTTTTTTTAGGTATTCGTTTTTCAAGTAATAGTCATATATGTTTAAATATAAAGATGAAAAACCTTTCAATTAATTTCTAGTTTTTTTTCTTGTCCAAGCCCATTAAAAATGCGACTTTTGCCAGATTCATATTTCCTTCAGCTTTTAACTTGAAAAGCTAGCAATTTATGAATAAAAATTGCAGGCATTTCTAATGTGTCCATATTATTTTAATTCTTAATTTTTTGTATATTTTTCTAGGTCCTTAATGTCATTCTCCTCCTGGAAATTACTTTTTTATGGGAAAATAGCACCATAAATATTGTATTAATAATAAAAAGAGCAATTCCAATAAGGTCCTCACACCATCGGTGCTCGGGCCCTAAATAGATTTAATGTATTCTGTGATGTTTGTTGTGTTAGTTGATTATCACTTAAAAATGATATCCTGTTAGATAACTTGCAGATATCTTTAAAATCACATATAAAAAAATAAAATAAATAAAGATTATTAAAAAACAATCCAAAATCATCCTCAACGTTTAATTCCTCACTGAGAAATGACCAATCTCTGTCCTGTTCGGTTCATGTTATTAGGCCTGATAGAAACGTTTTCTTGCCATTGTATAAATAATCAAGTTTAAATGAATAAAGTTTGTGTCTGAGCCTGAAGACCTGAAGGTCTACTATAACCTTTTATGGAAATAAATTACAACACAAGTTTATTCATTTTTTATAAGTCAAAGAGTTCACAAGGTACTGCCGAACAGGAATAGCCCAAGTACACTGTGTTACCTTCGCCACTCAAGTCTGCAATTTATTCAGTTCTTGCTCGTTGTTCATGTTCTTTCCTCCTATAGAGCGGCTGGGTGGTACTTCACGGGTGCTGAAGTTCCATCTGAACGGACAGCTCGTCCATCAAAAAGCCCTTGGAGTCTCCTTTTTTACTGTAGGTTCCTGTGTAAGGTATGCTGTTATCCAGTTAGCAGTTCCCTTGGCCACTGAGGTGATGTTTATTTCATATTCATGAGGATTGATGGCTGCAGTGTGCACTTAATTTCCCAAAAGCACCGGTGCTGAAGAACTGTAATAATGTAGGTGCAAAGGCCAAGTATTCGAACCTCGTTCAAACTGACATGGTATGATTTAAACTCTACCCTGTCAACATTACAGTTCTTATCAGTAGTTCAACAGTACAAGATCAGTTTAAATCCCTGTGATTTTTCCATTGTTACAATACGTACCTATGAGACTAACTGAATGAAAGACCTCTCTGGCGAGTCAATGTGGCGTGAGTTTAAGAGGTAAAGAGGGGGGACACTTTAGGGCAGATTTGGAAATGAGATTTTAAATGGCACAGACACAGCTCTTTTCGTCTATCTGTACAATTGCGGTGCTCTTAGATGATCAATGCCATTAAACTTGATTAGCCAATTCAGACACATGCCCATTGCCCATGAATGAAATGCAGGTGTCAAAAGAGACAATTTTGATATGCAAAAGTGTAAAGTTATGGACAGTTCTTAACTGTTTTGATAATTGTTTAATCTGTTAATCATTCAATAAAATGTTGCTGTTTTGTGACTGGCCTTAAAGGAGCCACCCCTTAAAACCAGATCATTTCAGATGGTCAGAATATAAAATAAAATACAGTGTAAAAACGTTATTAATATAATAAGTAAACCTCAAGGAACATATTAGAATAATTATAAATTTAAATATACTCATACTCAACAAGGCTGCTTAATAATAGTATTTTTATATAGCTCCTCACACATTTCTTTGACTTTGTATCAAACATCTGAAGAGCTAATCAGAATTTTATAAAGTAGCATGAGACGTTATAATTTGAATTCTTTTGAGGTCAAAATCTAAAGGAGATAATAATGATAGTCGGACTACTCACACACACAAAAAAATAGCCAATTTCCACTAAGATCTGTGTGCTTGAATAAAATAGAAAATTTGCAGTCCTTCTATTTTCTTGTAATAATTTGTTGCGCATATAGATGAAACCATTATGTTTTAGCTCATGCTTTAAAGCACTCAAACTAAAAATCGTTCACGCTGCATGTGTGGTTTCAGCTCTTCCACAATGGTGTAATTGATGCTCTTAAATTGCTGAGCGTCAGCCTTGTTTAAAGCCTTCTCTTTTACACTACGCTGCTCTATTATTCATTGCCCATCCTGATGACAGAGCGTCACACTAAACCTGACACACCTCATGTTACATTTGCATGGAGCCAACTCATTAGATACTACCTTTTAGAACCGTTAAAGGTCAGGCAAGCAGAAATAAGCATGCGGACCAAACAGAGGATGTTTTAGAAACGCTTATTAAAGAAATGTGACATTTCATACTGGGATTGGGGTTGTTGCGAGTTTTCGGGCTGGTTAGCGTTGGACTTAAAGGGATAGAGAAAAAAAAATGCCCCTGTTTTAAAGGGGGAAAATATTACACCAAACAGACCTTGTTTTTTCCTGCTTTTTTTGTGAGGTTATATTAAAACAAACCACATTTATGCATGTTGTCAGCATGCACTGTTTTACTGTTTTGAAATGTCAGACGCTTTTACTTACACATGAACTGTTGCCTAATGAGATTTTAATACTTGATGGCTGAACAATTCAAGGTGATAATTGCGAGAAGAAATTTAATGCTCTCTGTCAAATTTTATCCATGATTGCATTGGCAACAGCCAATCAATTCACTCCACATCTTTTTTTCGGACACCGTCGCAAGTCATATTTATAGGGATCAAAAGTTCCTGTTTGTTTGACAGATGAAGGACATGAATGTCAACGTGACGCCAAAGACAGATCTTGATTGAGACATTTTAAGACCTTATTGTGGGAACAAATTACATTAGCATGTTTTATTCAGAGCTTTCGCTTGTGCTGTCAGAGGGCGCATGGGTTACATCGATTGGGGGGGCGAGTCAAATAGTGAATTATTAATTTGGTCCTAATAATAGAAGCATGGCTGTAAGCCAATTTCCTAGTCGGATCATGCCTCCTTTCTGTTTCGAGTGACATCTGTGGATTTATTGTTCTTTAACTCTGTTTCATCTTCATATCTGTCTGTCTCAGCCTTTGATATTACCGATTAATCTGTGCGTTTTGCTGTCGGACGGTCCTGTGTCGTTACACAGATTGATGGCTGGCTTGAGAAGGCTTTGATCATTGCTGTAATCAGCTACGCTTTTCTCTGTCCAAATGGTTTTTAACAAATCCATCTCAACTCCCACGCCACTTACTTGTTATACAGATTTCCCCCTCTGGTTTTATCTATCAAAAATATCTTCTTCTTTCACCTCTCTGGGTGGGAACCAAAGATGATCAATAGATGCTGTGCATGGAAGAACTGTTGCACATGATTGGCGGAATGAGAACTCAGCTACAGGCAGTTCGCATCACGCTGTCGTTCAGTTTGAAAATGACTAAAATCAGCTTCCTCCTTAGCATCTAAAGGTAGAACTGACAGGCCGGGGATTCCTGTGCATGATGAACGCAAAGAGAGGAAATTGTCACTCATCTGGTGTAAAGGCAGGACTTCATCCTGTATAATTGGGTCACGCTAACCAACCCAACCTTGCCATGAACAGGACTTCTGATTTATATTGCTTGGCTAATGGATCTGTTGATGTGAAATTTAAGATGTCCTTAAATCTCTTAGTCCCTTAATGAGGAACAGTGGTAAATGAAACATTGCGTGGCATCACCATTGTGGAATGCTTTTGGATATCAGGAAAACAGAAATCTAATTTGTGAAATAGAAATTTAATTGAGTGGTGATGGAGACTGATGCCTTGTTGTCATGTTGCTACAGTGTGGTTTTATATAAAGACCGTTCTTAATGTTCCTTGTTTATTATTTTTCATTAACTTGAGGCTTAAATTCCATCTTTGCCTGTTTGTTTTAGGTGTCTAGACCCATTCAAACTAAGAGTTGATTATGCCAAGTTTCTGTACAGTGCTTCCCTCCCCTCTAACTTTTCTTCCAGAAGCATTAGCTGTTGATGTGGTGCATTCACACCACTACATTTGTTCCATCCCAGGATGCCTGTTTTTGCAGCAGATCGTGCAAGGTCACACCTCAGCCTCATGCACACACCCTCAAAACATGCCAGCACACAGTGACTCAGCTGATTCTAATGGGGAAATGCCTTGATTTCTTAGCCACATGGAATGTTACCGTTACTTAAATGGTTTTCTTTGAAATCTTTTCACTTGTCACTTTTCAAACTAGTAGTAGTAAAAGAAAAATGCTAAGGAGACAATTTAAGAGGAAAAGGTTTTTTTTTTTTAAATGACATGCCTGAGGCTTCTGGGTTTTGTCTGCGCTCTGTAGTATTTATGATGTGTCTCCAGCAATTACCTGTCTATGGTCCATGCAGTTTTCCACAGGAAGAAACAGGGTCGTAGCTAGAGGATTCGGGGCCCCCTGAAAAAATATTGATGTGGGCCCCCACCACCAATATCATACATATACTATACAATAGATGAGCATGGAGGCCCACATGACAGAAGATGATGTTTTTCTAAAACCTTTATTTTAAAAGTTGAATGTTTATATAAAAATTGCAAAAAATTGCCCTTCCCCCTCCCCCCTTCCCCAATGCCTTTCATGTCCTTCTTCTGTACCCATCCCCTCCCTATTCGACTGTTTCCCTGACAAAATTATTGATCCGTCACAAATTGGCTTGTGGTGCCTGAGCCTCAACTCCAGTGTCTGGGCTGAATGACACAGACTGGCTTGCTCAATTCAAGAGCTTTTCCATTTTCAGGTCCATCAGTGCCTTGGGGAGCGACATATGTATCCTTTTTTGGGATTCAGGTTTTTTGAGTTGCAAGTCCCACACAAAGTAGAGCACAAGCCCTTAAACTTGGGTTCAAAATTCACCTTTGGCTAAGCCACGCCCTAGAATGTAGATTGACCAATCACAGCGCAGCCAAGAACGAGCCCCCACAGAGGTCCGACACTTTTTCACAGTGCTCCATTGACTTTCAACACAGGCGTCTCATATTTTTGGTCTCGGCAGGCTATTACCATCATAGTTTTATCCAAAATATGGTTAAACGTTGTGCCTCGGGCATTTGTAACACAGATACACGTTTCCAAGAGAGGTTGGAGGGGGGTGTCCATTTTTTCCCTTCCCAAAACCGAAGTCAAATCCTGACAAGTGTTAGCCTGGCATGCCAGACCTACATCAAGATGTTAAGTCTGGAAACTCTTCATTGACAGGGCTCAATCCGAGGGGCGGGATAAACGGTTGTCTTTCAAATTCTCTCTGCACGCAATTGGATAGCGCTAAAGCCAATCAGAGCAACAAAGACGGTGACGTACTCAGCGGAGCAAGTTGATATATTAAACTTTTACCGTATCCATTCCAGCTGTCAACATTGAACATTGAAAATAAGGGAGAATTCCCAGAATCCATCCCCAAAATAAGGGATTTTTTATTTTGTTTTTTACACGACCCACAAACTTTAAAAATAAAACACTAATCATTAAAAGTCTAAAGAGTTTATAACCAGCCAACATATGTGTGAGAGAGAAAGAGACAGTATGTGTGTGTTTGTGTGTGTATGAGAGAGAAAGAGACAGTGTGTCATTAAAAAAATAATATCATAGAGAATGTATGTGTATGTATGTATGTAATTTTTGCTGCCGCTAGGGTGCGTCTAGATTTCTAGGCTAGACAAGTGTCGTCTTTGGAATAAACTAGACGTTTCTCAATGTCAAGGAAGGATCCTCGGAAGCCGGAATTTCGAGGATGCTACGTCATCGACGTCCGTCGAAGGACTGTTCCAATGTCGAGGATCCTCAGAATTTCAACCAAGGACTGAGTCCTTCGTTCGGAAAATATCCATACACAGGAAAGGATGCATATGTGTAGCCTTCGCGCTCTTAAATCACCCACAATCCTATGCGCAGCTTTGCTATCTTGTTCAAAAAATAAAAAA